CCCCAAAACCCCAAAACCCCAAAACCCCATCATGCCTAATCAATCAGTCTCGGATAAATTAATTATTTCAAAATATAATATTTCCTATATTTATAATTAAGAGATAACGTGAATGCTAAACGACGACTTAACACCTAATAGATATGATGAAATCAACCTGAACCCAGATCACGACTATTACGAAGCGCTAACTCCCTCAAATTAGAACGGCATGCTTTCTCCCCTGAATATTAATGAGAGACAGGAGATGTTTTCTTAAAGCTACAATTCTAAATTGCTTAAACAGCACCTGCAGCAAAGTCTCTCAAAAAATAAATATGAATAAGATCATCCGAAATATCATCACTAATCTACTAATTTGCAGCAAAGCAATGACAATTCCAGCTACAAAGACATCAACATCAAATCTAATTTCAAGATCAATGACAACCACGGCAAGACTTTCTCCGCAAACACGCAATCTCTCAGTCTATCCGGGTCGACTTAACCCTAGTCATCACCCAAAAAAAAATTGGACTTCTCAGGTAAAATCGCAAGTCAACTCACCTAAGATTCTATGATAAAACTCAATATCAATCAAGAGGATGCGAATCAATTCAACGAAGAATATATGGATCAAGTGGTAGATCCAGAGAGAATGCAGACTAAGCAGTACCTTACAGACACATAAAAAAGCAACGCAATGAATTATTAGACAGCATCATTTGGAAACAACATGAAAACCATTGAGAGAAAGTTCATCAAACAAGAAAATAAAAACCAATCATCCACCAGTGCAAATGATCCTATGTATAGCTCTTTCACTGAACTTGGAATGCATGACAGCAAATTGCTGATCAATAAAGATCTTAGGGACAGACTTCTAGATAATAATTCTAACTGGAAGGCAAGAACTGAAGCAATAGACGAGGTTTTACTTGTAATCTCAGACAGCACCCGAGATAATCCATTGCTAGTACAACAATAATCAGAGCAATTAATAGAGTTTTTCACATAATTACTAAGTGATCAAAACTTCAAGATAGTATTAACTACTCTCATTATTATAAGTAAGCTATTTATAATAATCTTAAAATCAATTGCTTTTAGATAAAATATTATCTCTGTCCCTTGATGGAAACCCAGATTACATTTTGAATTCACAGTAGCTTTCAAGATTCGTGCCTCAATTTATCAAAAAGCTAGGTGACAGTAAAAATATCATTAGGCAAGAGGCCGTCAGAGCGTTGCTTACTACATATGATATAATGAGAAAAGGTGAAAAGAATCAGAACAACATCATCGGACTAATTTTACCTTATCTCAATAATAGTTCTAATTGGCACATCAGAGAAGAGCTATTGAATTTTTTGATTCAATGCTTCCTAAAGTCTAGAAATTTCTATGAATTTGATGCCGTCCAAATCATTGAAGCTTTTGTCATCCTGATGAAAGATTAAAAGGACAAAGTAAGATTGATGGCTAAAGAAGCGCTAGTAGCCTATGCTTCAATTGGAAACAAGTTTAGCGTTAAGGAAATTGTGTTCTAGATAAGTGATCCAATCTAAAATAAGGAGATAAATGAGAGATTAGATTAGGAATTTATACCATTTATAAACTAAGATGCATTCTTAGAACTTCCATATTTAGATTATTTAGATAATCTTGTCAGAGACTAAACCTATGTCAGCAGTTAAAATAATGGATCCTAGTTTGTCTTGCCAAACTTAAGCAGGCGTGAATCTTTTAGTAGTAATCAACCTCCAACTGCTTAAAAGACAACGAATTAATCTCAATAAAGACAGTCTTCTCGAGGGAATTCTTCAGGAAGAAGAATAGTACCACCATCTGCAAACAGCATGGCTAACTACGTTAATCACTCCAATTTCAATAAAAGAACAGTCAGTGCTAATAATGTTATCAATGATCTTTAAAACTTTGAATAGACTCCATCATCCACAAATAAAAACTATGTAAACGATCCAGGATACATGTAAAATAACACTCATTTTGGGTTTTTACCATCTCTCAATAAAGTACAATCTCAATAGTAAAACAACAGCTACTACTCATAGAATAACTCAATCACTCAAGGCTAAGCTCATTAGTAGATACAAATGATAAATAACAATGGCCATCACTATCTTCACCAATTAAAGCTTGGGTAAAAACTAAATAGTGATAGCAATTACTATCAGGGTGTAAGGTAAAACATGCCGTAAAATCATATCAATCATTCATTCAAAATATCATCTGCTGAATAAAAGCACATTACTTTTGGAAATGTTCACAAAGGAGTGCACAGTGCAAATGTTTACTAAAGTAATGTCAGTTTATCTAGAGAGGAAATTCAACAAATATAGAATTTCTAACTCTCTTAGACATAGGACTAAAGCCTGTATGAGCAGCATATCTCATATAGTGCATAAAGATCAAGAGAAACTCCATACGAATCTTAAACATCAAATGGAACATCAAAACAGCAATCTAGAGCTGGCACCAGAGATACTGTGACCCCAGTCAAGAAACCTAACAATCAAAATACCTTCTATTCAGATGGCTCATTTACTACAACAACTACTTCAATCCCTGATAAGGTTAAGTAGCTAAGAGCAAATAAAAGATTTAACATGAATGCGATTCAATAAAATGATCAAAATAAAAGGAACATGATTATTCATCAGAATAATTCTTAAAATGAATCAATGGAGATTTACAACGCTTAAAACCCAATCCAGAAAAATTAGTCTCCAATGATAGGAACTAATTAAAGAGGTCCAATTAAAGCATTAAGATAAATTGTAAATAATAGTGAAAATAGTCAGAATAACGAGCAAGACTTATAAAATTTGTGCATTGATAACAGGAAAACTAAGAAAAAGTTGTTGAATAAGAATTCTGATCTATAGGAGATATTAGAGGAACCAAAAACTTTATCCTAAAAAAATCTCAACTAATCAAGCATCTAAATGAGAAGAACAAACTTTGGTTAGAACGATCAAGATGATAGCGCCTAAAAATATGAAGACACTGATGCTCTAGAGCCTCTCGAAAATCCTGAAAAAGAGCTTAAAAAGTGCTTGAATCTTATGCTTGGCAGTGAAGAATGGGCTGTTCAATTTGAAGGATGCACAATAGTAAGGAGAATTTGTAAACATCATTCAAGTCTAATACTATAATAAAGTGGCACTATTGGATCTTTGATCACTCAAATAGTAAAAATTGCTGATTCTCTGAGATCCTCTCTCTCAAAGATTTCTTTGATTACTCTAATTGATATGTTCAACTTTTTAAAGAGATGCATGGAGCCTTAACTTGATTCTCTAGGGAAAATTCTTTTGAAAAAGTCTTCGGATACTAATTCATTTATAAGTGAGGAAGCTGACAAAGCTCTCATCTAATTGTGCAATAACTGCTAAGACACAAAAGTATTACAAATGCTGCTTACTCTGCAAACTAACGCTAAATCTAACATCTACAGACAAAAAATCTGCAAATGCTTTGCTTAGCTAATTAAAGTTCTTGGAAATAGCATTTTGTTTTTCAAAGATAGTGATAAGCTTATAGGCTAATTAGCAAACTACCTATCTGATGCTTGTCCTGAAGTTAGAAATACAGCTAAATAAAGCTTTATAGATCTATCATAGGCGATAATGGCACAAAATGAGAGAGAAAAGTTATTTCAGAGAGTGTTAAATGAAACTTAATATAAGAAAGTGAAAGATTTTCTTGATAAGGAACCTGCATATCTTATTAGCAATTAATAAAATCAAGCTGATTTTGTTATTACTAATGCTAATGGTCAAATTCAACAAAGCAAGAAACCGAGTAAATAAATATTGATAAGTAGCAAAGGGTAGCTTAGGTCAGCTTCCTTGAACAAAAGCAATATAATGAATTAAGGGGAGCAACCTTTAAATATTTAAGCTACTAAAATAATTAAACCATCATAAATAAAGAAAAAGGGATCAATGAATGATACCACTTCAGGAATAATGCAGAAAAAGGACAATATAATGGATCAATTCTTCCTTGATACATTAAAAGACCAGATATATTCAACGTAGAAAACAGACTGGAAGGAGAAATTAGATTCAGTCAACGGACTTTACGACTTTATTGATTAAAATGCTAAAATTTTCCAAAGTAAGAGCAGCACTCGGTTTGTTGAATTATCAGATAATTTGAGCACATTAATGTCAGATCAAAATGCTAAGATACAGTAATTATCACTTGAACGCTTCTTGAATATCTTGCCTAAGATTAACAATTTTGTCGAATAATATATAGTAACGTTGTATTAAGCATTGACATCGAACCTTGGATCTTCAAATTCTTAAGTTAAAAAACTTACAGAGCAAATACTCATCTCTTTGAACGAGTATCTCTCTGATAAGACTCTTATCATTCAACCTTTGGTAACATAAATCTAGTTTAGTAGTAATTCCAGGCTTAAGCCTCTACTAATTGACTAGCTGATTGAAATGATACCGATATTGCCAGAGTAGAAAGCAAATACAACCTTGTAAAAATAAATACTTCCCTTAGGCCTAAAGCTTCTTGAGGATAATAGAACTGATATAAAGCAAAGGACTGAGAAGCTGCTTAAAGTTCTATATTAAATCTTGGGGCAGGTCATGATAGATTAATGTCCATAACCTAAGCTTTAAAAATTGTGTGATATCGTACTGAATAGCAGTCAAGGAAATAATCCTGGCATTGCTACCTTCGGAGCTTAGACTATTAATGGACTGTTAAAGGGAACTAATCTATAATGAAATTAAATAATTTATTTATTAGCCTATCTAAATTATGATTTTTTGTTGTTGTTTTTAATCCATTTCTATGATATTAATCAATTTTTGAACAATGGGGTTTTGGGGTTTTGGGGTTTTGGGGTTTTGGGG